TGTGTGTGTGTGTGTGTGTGTGTGTGTGTGTGTGTGTGTGTGTGTGTGTTGTTTACGGTTGGATGAACTCCTGGATGTTGTTGATCAGCTGTTTTCCCACCATGATGACCAGCATCTCCTGAGCCAGTTCCATCAAACAGCCTCCTCCCCCACACTGCAGCGCGCCACAAACACAGCATTTCATATAAACTCGGTTTTTTCTCTTCAGACGAGTTTTTATCACATTTTTTCTTTGAGTTTTATTTGTTTTAATTGAATTAAACATCAGAAAGAAAACCAACAATAAACCTGTCCTGATTGTTGAAGCTTTTATCAGGTTTTTCTTCTAAGAAAGAAAAAYGTTTCAGTTTCACTGCTGATACTGTAGAGACTTAGAGCGGCTAAAATATTTCTCTTAAAATTAAACTTGAACGTTGGAAGTTAAATATTTACATTAAAATATATATTTTTTAATTTTATTTAAATAAACATTTGTCTTTTTTTCATCATTTCTCATCATCTTCATCAGCAGAGAGAAAAACTCACGTCCTCGTTACGAACTCCAAACAGAGTGTTGTATTTTCCAGGATAACCAATAAACCTACAGTAACACAAACAAACAAACAAACAAACAAACAAACAAACAAACAAACAAACAAACAAACAAACAAACAAACAAACAAACAAAGACGTGGTTACAGAAACAGAGCAGCTGAGTCGACTGCTTCCATCAGACTGAAGCTCAGAAACTAAATTAAATTTAGTGAGAAAATAAAAAATGGAGGTGAACCCTCTGAGCCCACATCTCTCGTCTGATTGGCCGAGCCGCTCACCTGCCTTTGAAGAAGGCGATGTAGACCGGAGAGGAGTAAAAGTTCACGAACTGGAAGATGAAGACTTTGAGGATAAACATGTCTTCGTATTTGGTTTGAGTTCGATGCATCTCTGACAGAAAAATCAACATTTAATTGAACTTTTCTGTGATAAAAACAGATTTTAAATGTTTTACTTCAGTTTTCAGGTGTTCTGTGAAAATCAGCTCATTCTCTTCACATCGTGTTTAAATGTGATGCTCTCATGTTTACAGACTCTAAAACAAGTTCCATCAGATTTAATAAGATAAAATTAATAAAACCATGAAAAACACGCTCTTCTTTAGATCGTGACATGAAGGTCCAGAAGGTTTTCAGTGGTCGTGACCTTTGACCTGTAGGCCTGCAGTGAGCTGAAGGTGAGCTGGGAGTCAGGAGGCCAACACGAGGACCTCAGTGAAAAAAAGTTTATCTAACAATGAATGAGTAGAAAACAGAAAGCACACGGCGCTCAGAGGAGACGACCGATGCATCGAGGCAGCAGGTGGAGGTGGAGCTCCAAGGACAGGTGAGGCTGCCAGACAGAACTGGAGAAACTAAACAGCAGCTGAGGAAAAGGAAATAATCAGAAACTGAACACAGCCCACTGCACAGTCTGACCTTCTGGGTGAATAAGCTTCCTTTCTGTAGAAGGATGGACTCTAAATGACCTTTGACCCTTCCCAGATTGACTGGCAGCTGCTTCTCATCAGCAGCTCCTGATCCTGACTCTGTAGAGGTTTGGTTTGGTCAGAACCAAACACCACACCCTGGTCTTCCTGTCAGGACTCTAACCAACGAGGAGTCCAGTAAAACTGCCGGTGGTGGTGGTGGAGACTCACCCCAGCGTGTGAGGATGTGGGCCAGCATGATGTAGACTCTGGACAACATGAGGATGACCAGCAGGTTCAGAACTGATCCTGAAAGACTGGCTATCCTCCCAGCCTGAAGACAAACAGGAAGGTCAGAAGAACCTGAACAGAACTTGGACCTCCGTGTTCTGTGGGGTCCCTCAGGACCTCGTCCTGGAGCCTCTGTGGTTTCTGTGGGAGCATTCAAACGTTTGAAGGAACACCAGGTGTTTCAGGCTGAACTCACTGAGAAGCTGAGGAAACTGTACTCAGACTTGGAGATGATGATGCTGAGGATGGTCCGATACAAAATGATGGCGATGAGAAACATCAGCACCACGGTAACCTGCACACAGGAAGGTCATCATCAGAGGTGGGCACCAGCCCGCTAAGGCACAAGTCTGTTAATTACAAACCTAAATATTTCATTTGTGCTTTAGCAGCCTTACTAATTTTTATAATTCATAAGCAGATTTGTGCTTTCTAAATTAAAATGCAGTACTGCTAATAACTG